GGGCCTGGGGAGATGGAGGGGGCAGCGCCCCTATTGGATAGACCAGGCGGGCTCACTTGCGGGCAAAGTCCCGACCGCGCTGCCGTTTGTCAGCGTAGTGAGCGTCTCCTCTGGGAGCAGTTCGTTTCTCCCTGGTCCTCCAGTCTGTGTCGGCCCACGTGCCCTGTCGGCGGTTCCACCCATCCCAGGACTGCCATGAATCCCATTGAGCGGCAGAACTGGATGCGCCTGACTGTTCGGCAACCCTGTAATCGGTGTACACCGGGGGGGAGCATGTGGCCTCTTTTGGTTTGCTCCATGGGTACCGTCGATCCTCCCCAGTGGGCTCGCTTGAGGCAGCTGCTTGCATGGCGTCTCTGTCATAGGCGGGCACTGGGGGGGGACATGGCGTCACCTTGCTGCCGTCAGCCCATGGATACGGGCGACCGCCACCCCTGGGACCTTCGGGTGTGTGTGTGTTTTGGTGTCACGTTGTAGCTGCTTGCGCTGTCTGTCCATAGTGGTTGGCCATTCTACATGGAGCTGGTGCTCGTCGTCCATCTCGTGGGCGTCGAAGCCTGCTTTGTTCCATGCCTGGAGGAAGTCTTCGCGTAGCTGTAACGAATTCCTCTTGGGGTCGGACTTGATGTTGACCCATGGGCCCCCATGCTTGCTGCCTGCCTTACGACCCCAGGCGGCCCAGATCCCGTTGAAGGCGCCTCCCAGCGTCTTCTGTAGTCGGATGATATTGTCTGGTGCTGGCTCGCCCTTGTTGGCGTCTGCTTCGCTGATTGGCTTTAAGTACATGGGGAGACCGCCCATGGGGTCATCTGGGCGCGCTGGTGGGATGGATGATGCCTGAGGCTCGCGCCCTCGGCCTGAGCTGCGACGCTGCCAAGTGGCGGGTGGGCTCAGTGGCGGGCGGTCTGCGCGGCCGAGTGAGGCGTCTTCGGGAATAGGGGGTGGTCGGCGCTCTGACTTGTTTTCAACTAGCCTTAGCTGCCTGCCGTCGCACATTGCGTCCTGGAATGTACGCGCGTATTCCCTAGCGCACGGCGACCAGGCTGCCGATTCGACCCTCTGTGGGGGTCTGGACCACAGGATCGGCGGACTGTGGGAAACCTCACTGTCGCTTCGTTCTGGGGCGTCGGCCTCGGCTACTTGGCGTGCGGGACTGGCCTGAGCCACGGAGTCATTCCTGTCTGGCTGGGTTCCATGATCCTGGCCTTCTGTCTCGGATGGGCCCCAGTCAACTTCATCCTCGCCGCCGCCACTTCCATACTTGTGTGGGGGCGGAACATCTCCCACCTCTCCGTCAGGCTGTCCTGGCGCGGCAGGTGGCCGGGGGAAAGCGTGGTCAGGGGAGGGGCCGGATGATGTCGCCCGGGGCTTGTTGAGCCAGACGGCTGTGGGGGATCCTCCTTCTTCAGCGCTGCAGGTCTTCGTAACCTTCCGCGAGCCAGCGAGGAGCTCTATTGTTCCTCCTGTGAGGTCATCCTTCATTCGTGATAGAAAGGTGGTTAGCGTGTCCAACGGCTGCCGATGGGGGCACTGTCCTTTCTGGTTGTCGAGTATCTGCAAAGCGCCGCCATTCCTCCTGGTACTTCGAGCTGCTCTCTACTAGGTGCGCGACCACATTGGCCGCCGCTGCCCCCCGCCCGTCCCAGGGGATGCGCGGGGGGTGCCCGTTCCTAGGTATCTCGCCCCCGTAGATGGACTGCAGGAATTGCACCGGGTGCTCGAGAGACCACCCCGACTCGTCGGTCACCTCCCCCACAACGCCCCTTCCCCACCGCTGAGTGTGGGCCGCCCAGAGGGAGTAGACCGTGTGACTCCACTCGATCAGAAACTTGACCAACTCGCGGACGGGGCCTCTCGACTGCTCCCCACCGAGACGGCGGGTGGAGTATGTGGGTAGTGGCGGTGCCATGGGTGGTGGAAGAGCTGGTAGTGTGTAGCTGTGAGCACCTCCTCCATATGTGCTTTCTTGTGGGCGCGGAGCTAGCTCTGTTCGGCCGTCGGCAGTTGCCATTAGTGGGTTGGTGCCTGTGGCTGGCGCTGGGCTGTTTGGGGAGAGATGCGCTGGCATGTCGTAGATGCCCCACTCCTCTTAGATCTCGCTCATGGCTGGCCTCTCGGTGGGGGAGTTGGGTATATCTCGTTGGAGCATTGGCCCAGCATTCGGTCGAGGGCGCTGGAGGCAATGTCCCAGATGTGAACCGGGCACCTCCTGCAAGCCCAGCTGGCGTTCCACTGCCTCTTGATCCACAATGATGGCATTGCGTCCCACGGAGGGAGACCTGTCTGCTCGGTGCAGTCCGCATCCGTCTCTGCGCGCCATACGAAACAGCCCCAGGCTGGCGCGCCTGGCGACCACTCCAGCAGGAGGGAAATGGGGGGACAGAAGTCACAGGTGGCCGAGTAGCATTTGGTTAGGTGCACCTCGGTGCCGAACCTGCCGTCGGTGAGCCGGCGCGGTGGGAGTGTGGTGCCAGCGCTGGCTGGGCGGAACTGGGGCGGCGTAAGTAGGACGAGCTCCTTAAGAGAAGTTGGGGCTGCGGCGTCTGATGGCACCCTGAACCCCAGCGGTAGGCTGGATAGGGAGGGGAGTGTCTTGGCCCTTTTCTGTGCGCGATTTTCGTCCAGTCTGCGTTTGTACTCTTGTAGT